TTTGCTTCTCTCGGAGACTCATCAACTGCATCGTGCAGGATGTGGTACAGAATCCTCTTCGGATAGGGTTGCTTGGGAAAGCATAGCTCAATGATGATGGAGTCTAGGAATGACTTGCATGCATCCTTGAGGCCAGCCCAATCAAAGGCTATCTCGGGTTCACCTGGATCGGTGTTCTCAATCGCCTTGAAGTAACGAGCATAATGGGCTATCACATAGTTAGAGCGTGTGATGCACAAAATTGACAAGATGTTGCCGTACGCGTAGTGGTGGCAAGCACAGAGAATTTCTTTTGACCAAGATCAACTAAGTTAGAGACCAAATCACAAACGACAAGATAACGAGCTAGTAAACCCTGATCCTTTTGCAGCTGGATGTGAGCCGTTGCGTCATTGAGGCCAGACTTCTCAAGCGCTCGCAAAGAGTCAACGACGATTTTCCATGCTGAAGCGACCATGTACGTATTGTGAATCCTACACAGCCGACATATGATGATCGAGTCATTTAAAAATGGAGCATTAGACGACGTACCTGATTGCGATGATGGACGCCACATAGGAGGGATCTGATCGTACCTCCCTGCCATTCTTCGTCGTTCCATATGGTGTACGAGCATTCAGTTCCTCGGTGATCTTCCGGTGGAAAGATTCCGGGTCTTGTAAATTAGTGATATCATCCAAATATGCTAGATCACATGAGACGAAGGTATGGCTTAGGCATGCGATCGCATACCATTGAACTGAGAGTCTGCGATCTTGATGCATTTTGCCAGTTTCAGAGGTGACATTACAGCAGTTCGTGCATGCTCATTGACAAGGTCCTCTGCCATCGTACCTCGAATGAGCCGATTGCGTGCTAATCGACAAGATGGACGACTTGCCTGCAAGCAAATCAAGTTTTTCCCTGCCGCTCATTTTACTTGAAAGCATAACCTCCCCGGTGCCTCTTGCTCCAAATTTACCATTTCGTAAGACCAGGGCTCGAGAAGTAGTGGGTTTGAAACCATTTTCATCTCGTTTGCCTCCATGTTTTGAGGCTTGAACATGGCGTGGCCCTACTGGCACGAGGTCTCTTGAGGTAGAAAGAACAGGTGGCACTTTCGCAGGTTTTTTCTTGGACGCCATGGACGATAGAGGCTAAGGGCGCCCTGCTATATCGTGAGAATCTTTGCTTTGTCTTTGTTGACGGTAGCGTTGAAGTGGCTCCACTCGCATTAATGGCCCATATACTAGTACAGTAACTGCCAAGTACTAGTATTCAAGCAATCGTCGTCGACAAACCTCCTAATGATGACCCTCGGGGATACTCTTCTCTTCCTCACGGTCCAAAATACTTGACTCTCACGGATTCATTCAAGAAGCACAGCTAAAGCCTATCGTCACGAACAGATAAGTGATGGTGATGGTGGCGGGCGCCGTGCACCAATAGCACTTTGTTTATATCATTAATCTGTGTTTTCCATGCTTGTCTCATGACAACTAGGGCACTCTAGCTCTATAACCGCCTTCAGGCAAGTACCTACCAAGTTGAAGTCATCCTAAAGATAGATTTTCCCTGGATACTGCATCTGGCCGCTCAACACCGCAACTGCACATTATCTGATACATGCGCGCGACTGGAAGAACGGAGCTTTGGCGATGTAGTGCAGTGTATCAGGTCGCCGCGTACCGGTTGTTACGTAGATCATAATATTCTAGGACACAGAATTCACGGAGTGATTGACATACCTCAATTGACAGCCGGAATTTTTTATTCGATTCGTTAGGCAAGGACACCTCAATTGTAGTACTTGTTGAGTTTGAGCTCGTTGGTGGTTGATGTTGTCACTTTCGCTTTTATTTACATAATTAATTTTCGTAATACAATGAATCGCCTCGTCTGAAGAAATGTTGAGTTTCCATTTTTGCTTTATAGACAATGCACGCGGCACGCCCCTTGTAAAAATAGTCAATAGCCGGAGATTGCCTTAGAGACCCATGTGCAGTGGTCACGTAGCAGTGCCAAGTTTCGCCGTTCTCCCGAGTGTATGTGTGTCCTATAAAGTCCTCATCTTTGTATCACTAGCTTCCGAGTTCAAGTCATCTTTCCACCAACTTTCTTTCATTACATTGGTTGAGCTGGTCTCTTCCTTGTGCACTAAAGCACATTTCCATTCGCTTCCTTTCGACACACCAACAATTGTCTTTTGAGCCGACTCCGAGCAGCGCTCGATACACTCACTTCTACGGCTATCCACCCCTTTGTCGACCACCGATCTCTTAAACCAATGGGAAAGCTCATCTGGCACGAATTAAGTCGCTACATCTCCCTCACGGCGAGTGTTTGTACGTCGCATCCCTTTATCCGGCGGAAATCATCTTACCTGACGTTAACAGATTCAGTATGGGCTAGTTTCTGGGGTTTCTTCTTTCGCAAGTTCTTCTGGGACTTCATTGGTGGCATCTTGCGCTCTCCCGGTGGTCTGCAGTGAGTGTCGGAAGACTTCGCATACTAATTTATATTCATGATCTCTTGCGTAGACCGTCACCCAAGTTTGCTATATTCATCACCGTTATTGTCAAATTCCCTATTGTGCAGATAGCTACAATGGCCCTCGGGTTTGTCATGGTCGCGCTGGAATATCCCCTTCCCATGCTTAAGGGAACTGCCATACAAAGGAGCATCGCTCTTAGAGTGGTGTTACTGATAATGCAAGCAGCCGGCACGGTATTATTCTACCAAGTGAGTTTCCATACGTATTGTATTATCAACTTTCTCATGCCAACACAATAGGGTACAAATGCGGCATTGTGGTCATTAATTGCTGCAATGTTCTATATCCGTGCATTAGCATTGAGAGAGAAAATGGAGGCTGCAATAAGAAACAAAGGGCGAGTGGGTGAGGCATAACGTGTGCGTTTATGCCTGCAATTCCCAAATTTCTCAAGGTGTGTACCGTCAGTCTGTGACTACGGCATACCAGTTTCCCTTTTCGATATCATTTGCTTCCTGTTGTATGTACATCATGATTGTATCAAGAAATCAAGCATCGGGTTTCAGACGACACATGGTCACACGTGAACCTACATGCACCGCTGGTCGTGAAGATGTTATATATGGTGGGTGGGGTGGAAAAGCATATCTTGAATTGGAAAGCCTTGAGGCTCGGGCGACGGGTAGACAACAGATTGATCGGGATTCGGTCACGTTGGAAGAACTAACGACCGTAGGAGTGTCCATTGATGAGGCTTCAGCGTGGCTGGGAGGTTACATCATTTTCATGACTGTCAGACTCACTCTGTCCTTAACTTACGTGTATTCTTCTGGCCTCCGGCCCCATTAATGTTTTTGTTTTTGTTTGGTGGTGAATTCCGACAGTTTTGGTCAGTCTGTCGAGAATCTAGGTGTACGCCTTATGTTTCTGAGACGATCCTCGCGGGGCGTGAAGGTGAATTCCTTTTCATGGACAGACTATCACATAAATAAAGAGTGGGCCTAGTTAAGACCTCCGAAGATGCATGCACCGCAAAAATGTTGTCAGCAGGTTTCGAACCAACTCCAAGAGAAACAGATTTTGACTCTGTTGTGTAAGCTAACCACTTGGCTAAGGCCTGTTACGTGAACCTCCCACGAAACCATGCATGAGTGAATGTCATCAAAAACGTGTCGTTCGGCAAATTTTGAATGCGCAGTCGAAGAGAAACAGATCTGGATTCTGTTGTGGTAACCCTTGGCTGAAACCAGTCAAGATCAACAACCGACGAAACCACTCATGAGTTAATAGGGGGAGTCAGAGAGTTGGCGATCCACGCTCGATTCAAAAGCCGTTCCACATCGCGATCCATCATCGGTCTGATAGAGAAAAAAACTTGTTGTCGGCTGACGGCAGGTTCAACAGATTTTGATTCTGTTGCGGTAACCACCTGGCTAACATCACAATTAAGATGGACCTCCAAGGAAACCATCCATGAGTGAATTTTCAAGGCATTTTCCGATAGAAAAAATACCTTGTCGTAAGATGGACCTCCCAGGAAACCATCCATGAATGAATTTTAAAGGCATTTTCCGATAGAAAAAACACCTTGTCGTCGGCAGGTTTCGAACCTACACTGACACAGTCCAAGAGGCAGATTTAGATTCTGTTGTGGCAACCACTTTGGTCAGGACAAAGTTGAGGAGAACCTCCGAGAAAACTGTCCATGAGTGAATGTCAAGGTGCAGTGTTCCGATAAAAAAAACCTTATCGTCGGCAGGTTTCGAACCTGCACAGTCAGATTTCGATTCTGTTGTGGTAACCACTTGGCTCAGACCAGTTAACATTAATCTCCGACGAAACCATCCCTGAGTGAATTCTGTCAAGGTGTGTTCCGAAAAAAACAGTGAGCGGCAGGTTTCGACCCTGCGCAATCCAAGAGAAACAGATTTCGAATTTGTTGTGGTAACCACTTCATTAGAACTATTGAGAAATACCTATGAGGAAACCAGTCATGAGTCAATGTCAAGGTGTTCCGATCCCTGTCATCGGAGGTTTCAAACCTGGGGTGTTCCAACCGCCTTTCCGTTATTGTCCGACACCTCCTGTGCCACGGTACTGTTCCACTTCTGAATGATGCCGTCCATGAAGCACTCATGATATGGGCGTTGTTGTGCAAGAAAACAAAAATCCATATATCCTCTTCATGTCCCTGAAACTTGTGCTTTGGAGTAAAAACAACCTTCTCGTCGGTAGGTTTCGAACCTGTGAAGTCCAACTTGTGGAGGAACAGATTTTAACTCTGCTGCGGTGACCACCTGGCTAAGACCAGTTAAGATGGACGTCCGAGGAACTCATCAATGAGTGAATCTTCAAGGCGTGTTACAGAAAAAAGTCATCTGTCGACAGGTTTCGAACCCGCACAGCCGAGGAGCAACAGATTTCGATTCTGTTGTGGTTACCAGCCACTTTCGCCAGCAGGAAGCTGAGATGATTCTCCGACGAACTGTCCATGAATGAATGTCAAGATGTGATAAGAGGGAAAGATCACTTGTCGACAGGTTTCGAACCTGCGCAGTCAGATTTCGATTCTGTTGTGGTAACCGCTTGGCTCAGACCAGTTAAGATGAACCTCCGACGAAACCATCCATGAGTGAATGTCAAGGTGTGATGAAAGGGGTAGGTAATGCATCAGCGGCCTAGGTCATAGTAACTAGGAAACTTCCCGAGTTGACATGAACCTTTGAATTCGAACTGAATGTCATTGAAGTTGCGATAAGGTGTGATGAGAGGGAAAATCAAAAGTTTGTCGGCAGGTTTTGAATCCGCACCACCCAGGAAAGCAGATTTCTAATCTGTTCTAGTGCCAGTTGGCTATGACTACTCGAGATAGACCTCATGAAGGATCCATCCATGAGTGAATGTTCAAGGTGTGGTAAAAGGAATTAAGGGATTGTTGAGCAGGTTTTGAACCTACAACATATTTCTATGGAGAATAAGCGAGTCGGCTGGCGCCAACGCCGTGACGATTACTTTGTACAGTCACGGTATAGTACTACGGCTTGCCGATTTGTGCTCACACGCCGGTGACCAAATATTGACATGTGCAGTTCAGTCATGAAGGCCTCTGATATCATATCTGCACTACCCAGTCGGTTTGAAACTGCGCAATCTTCAGGGGATCTATTTTTCTTCCCCTCGGAAGTGAGCAAGCATGAGGAGATCGAGATAGAGGTGCGTTTCCGTCTGCTTTCATCAACACAGCAATAGTTCATACGAGTGATCGATTTACAGTGGGAGATTCGCCTATGTACAGCACTTCAAAAGAAACCGGTACCTGCTGGGGAAGCGGGAATCGCACCATCTAATCAGATAGACGAGACCTCCAAGAACTCTGATCCATTTGCACCTCCATATGTCCCAAATCTTCACGTTGGTGATCTACGCGACGAATCATCCGAGACGGAATATGGTGTACTGGTACGCTCAACTTTCTCCATCCGAGCATCAGCTCAAGGGCATCCAGCTAAACAAGTACTCGGTCGTCCCCCATCATTTCCTTCTTGTGACCAAAGGTTCCCTGCTAGCTACCTAAACTCCATGATCACGCGCTGATGCATATGATCGACAGAATTTATGCCGCAAACTTCACCGCTGATGCCTCATGATCTGGTCCAAACCTATCTGCTGCTCCTTGCAGCCCGGAAAGCACGTAAAAATTATTTCGCTTTCTACAATTGTGAGGATCTCTCGTGACATGACGATCCGATTGTAAGCTTATACTGAGGATTCATCAAAGGCGGATCAAACAGTGGAGCCAGCCAAAGTCACAAACATATCCAGTTCATCGAAGTTGAGGAAGATGGACCTCCAATCGAAAGATTAGCCAAAGCCGCAAATCTTGAAGTCTCGGGTACTTACTCTCTGCTGTTGCTCTACTAGATATTCGAACCAAGCTCACCCTGAGTAATCCTCAGGCAAACCTTTCTCGCTGTCATCCGTGTCATACGCCAACCATGTATATCGGCTTCCAGCTCTGTCGAATGGCGCGTCACCGGAGCAGCTCGAACAAGTGTTGTTCCTTCCATTCCTATCCCTCTTGGATCTTGTGATTTCAACCGTACGACATGCCCCGGACTACCCGCCTGGTACCCCCTCCTATAATGTGATTCTAACCTTGGAACACATGCACTTGATCCCGCGACGCTGGGAAACCTATACCCTAGGAGAAGAGGGGGCGACGTTGAGCATCAACTCACTTGGGTTTGCTGGCATGCTGATGGTGAAAAGCGAGTCCGAACGCCAGGCATTAGAGCAAGAGAAGATCGGAACGGTACTTAGAGGTGTCGGTGTGGAAAGCGTTCATGACTTGCAAGTCGCTGGTACATCGATGGAAGCAATGGATGAGACAGGTACTTGACAGTAACATCCGAGACTTTATACATGTACAAGGCAACATTTCGCAAAATTTCTACTGGAAGGATAGCAAGAAATGGATATGTTCAAGACTATCAGGCATCACTGACCAAGAAAACCCTTCACTCTCCACATGGTGTCCAAGGAAGCAAGCTGAGGGATCCGATTAGCAGCGTCATCTGAGGTTATGGTTTCTTTCATTTGATGACTTCGAGAACACTTACCAGTTGGGCAAAACCTTCCTCTCCGATGACTTGTGCTACGATGGATTCTAACTCTGCATGAGATAGCTTGTGAAGGGCCGGAGTATCATGCAGTGATGCAACAAGCTGGGCCTGAGTTGAATTACGACCTTCTGATGGTCGACTTTCCGATTGAAGAGATCGTGTGACACTCGAAGGCAGTGGAGGCGGGGGCATTGTGTTTGAACTACTGCGAGTAGACGAGGATGGTTGGGAAGAATCAGGTAAAGAGCCTTTGGTAGAACTGATGGAGCCAGATGGTGCCTGGCATTGGCTAGACTTTGGGATAGTTATCCGAGGTGTTTCTGGAGGTGTAACGAAGGTACTGTCGTGAGAGGATGAAGCCACGGATGTCATTTTCGTAGAACTGCTGCTCAGAGCCACAGGTGTGAACCTGACTGGCGTCGATGGTGCGAATGCCGGTAAATCGGATTCGGATGATGGATTTTCTGAAAGGAGTGTAGTCGGCGCTGGTCTGAGGGGAGTTCTGCCTATCGACGGCCGATCTTGTGAAACAGTTGGGAGCATAGTACCTCGACGGGAAATGTCGTCAAGAAGGCCTGTCGTAGCTACAGTAGGGATGCGAGTGACCAGAGGCTGCGGCTGTGGATTCAATCGACAAGGACAAACTGGTCGGACGGCATCGATAAACTGAGCTGCGCTCGTTGCAGTGGTGAATGTGATCTGAAAGCGCCGATATACCTAAAACAAAACTTGGTAAAATGTTTGGAGCGAACGGCACATATGTACTGGTTGACAGGTCGAGTCTGCTGTTCTCGGGTGCAGATACCGAATCCCAACAACAGCATCTCGATAGACAGCTTTGAGTGGAAGACCATGGTCGGGTTGCGCAGAATTCGTCTTCGAGTTTGAGATCGACGAGAAGGAGAGTAAATCAAGATCCTCCTTGAGGGTTATGCTTTTTAGTGCGGTTCGTTGCCCCTCAGTAATTAAAGAGCCTACGAGGGTAATCTCTCTTTGATCGACGTCCTTGCTATTGGTGCTGCTGTCAAAATTCCATATAATTCGAAGGCGGACAGAGACAAGATTTCCTGCGGAAGATTTCTTCGCGTCCAAGTAGAGGTTAATAACGGGGTGGACGAAATGTTGCCATTCTGGATCTATAGCAGCGTTCTGAGAGGATGATGAGCTCGTAGGATATGATCGCGAATATTTTGCTAGCGGATAAGTGACGGTTGTTGTAGTGAATTGAGCCATGGTTTAAAAAGTTCTATCGCGGTTCGATATGCCGCTGGTGCTTTTCAAAGTCCGTGACATCGATCACGGTAATATGAGCAACTAGGCAAATATACCGAATCAATAGATCTCGACAAGAACCACTCAATCGACAGTCCGCCGTGTGCTGTGATCGCTTCAATTTAAGCGCTTAAGCATCCACCACCGAGCTTTGAGCGCTTGACTCGGAGCGCTCGAGCACTCGCGATATGGTCAGTCTCCGCCCCTCCTGGGCCAATATTACGCTACATGAGTACATTTTATTTCCCCATCTGATCTAGCGACCTCTCGTCACCTTCGGCATCAATGACTGAACCCTTTAAATCTGTGCCAAGCCACCAACACATCATAAAGCGTGACTTCTTCAGTTTCGCTTCACGCCGCTCTATACTATGTTCAGCCCGTTGTGGGCATCTCTGGTACCTACTACTGATTGCAACCCAGTTGACAGTCTTCACATGTGTTGCGATTGCGACGACTGTGCCTCGGACTTCGATTTAACGGACCTAGACACGGACTCACTGGAAGACACCACTAGTAGTAGCCAATGTAGCGAGCATAGCAGCCTGAGCGAGGCACCTAGTGAAGACGATACAGGTGACTACGGCCCAGAGACATATAGTAACCACTGTTTTTTTACTTGTCCATGCAAAATTGTTCACCAACTTTTACTTTGAAGTTCCAGATAGACAACCCGCGGCAAAGCGCGCCAGGACAGACAAAGGAATCGATACGGGAACAGCACCGGCAGCAAAAGGTTCTGGCAGAAGAAAGAAAACTCCTGGTCTCATTGTCACTGTGCCAACCGATATTCTTCTCGAGGTAAGTTAATAAGCATTGCTCAGGCGTCTTATTTGTTCTGATCTCTGCTTCCAATCAGATCTTTGGCCTCTTGGAACCGGTAGACCTTTTACATCTATTCCGCACCAACAAGGCTTTCCGTAAGGTTCTATCATCTTACCATGCAGTCTGGAAAGCTGCCCGTGTCAACCGTGGCGGTGTTCCCGACTGCCTACCTGGCATGTCTGAGGTGGAATGGGCTGACCTATTATTTGACAGCTCTCACTGTGAAGTGTGTCTGGTCTCCATTTACATCTTTTGTACTTTCATGACCGAAAGCTCAGGAATGTGGCAAGAAGGGAATTTGGGAGATAGACTTTGGTATCAGGCGCAGAGTATGTCCCCCATGCCTTAATGAGAAGTGAGTACTACTTTATTATCATGCTCTTATCTGGCCAACAATTCGTCAAGCCTAGTCTGACAGCTCCTTTCTACATGAATTTCCTGAATGCGATCCGATTATCATGGATTTGATCCCATTCAGTAGCAGTGGGTGCTGTCTTACCATGGCTTATCAGTATCTGATCTTCCTGCGCAGTTCGTGCAGATGATCGCGATCATACTGGCTGCAAGTCTTTTTGGTCAGCAGACGTACTGGAAATGGCAAAAGAGCTGGAGGTGTACCTCAAACCAGGTGCCGAACAAGCATTAGAAGTCTTCAAGCAATCACGCAAGAAATATGCTGATTCCGATACCGATGTAAGATTCCTACAAGTGGTTTCACCAAATCTGATAGCTTCGAAGCATATAGCCGTCTGTAGCGCTTGGTCCGACGAGGACAGTAACCGTCAATTGTCGCGTGCCCGTGAGCTTCGTAGCCAAAATACAGAGCTGTAAGTAAATTTAATTGACTCGTCATCTAATCATGTCTTGATCCTCTATCCTAGG